AGGAAGGGGGTCGAGGGGCGGGGCTGACTTGGTCGGGCGGGTTTGTTTGCAGGGAATGTACTCTGTGCCTCCGGATAGCTCAGGCTTGCTCGCGGGCAGGTAACGCTTTGGCCATCGCCCGAGGCCGCGGTGCGGCGCTTCGGCTTCGCATCTTGCGTGAACCCAGGCTCTGCAGTCGGTTGATCATGGCTTATGGCTTGGCAGGGTGTCCGGCCACTCCGGGGTGTTCCACAAACGATCATCGACACAAACCTTAACGCGGTGCAATGTGTGAACTCCGTTCGTTTATTTTACGCATTAAGCCTATTTCTGTGCCGTCGCAATCCAAACGATTCTCAGCAGCTGACTGGGAAGAACACAGTTCAAAACACCCGCAGTAACAAGGTGGAAAAAACGAAATAACAGTCAAAAAGCCTGCGGTTTAGCCCGCTGGGTGAGTCCAGCTGCCTAGGTGGACTCGTCTGACAGATGTCATGCATTTCACTAAAATGCGGTTGGGCTTGTTGAGCAAACGACAGTAGGCTGGGCTCGTGCAAACGTGCAGCCAGAAACTCCGCTTTGCACACACACCATAATGGCCGAGTTTGTGCAACACCCTTAAAAGGAAGAATTGCTTTTGTGATGTCATGGGGTGTGCAAACTCAGCCCAGGCAGGGTCCTCCTAGGATTCCCTGCCTGGAGAGGCTGCTAGAAATGAATCCAGTCCTGCGTTCCCATGAATTCCGCCCTGGCTTGGCAGCTGTGGGACCATACAGAGCTCCTGCAGTTCTAGCGCTGATGCTTAACTGGGGCTGGTCTCAAAGCTCCAGAGAAGCCCCCGTCCTCTATTCTGGCCAGAAGCATCTCGTGCCAGTTGACAACGTTGCAAGGAATGCCAAAGGCCCCGCGGCTGACGTTTCATCCCCTGGTGACGGTGCATTCCCACTGCAGATTTGATGTTTGCAGATCCTGGGCATTGGAGCACTGCCTCCCTCTGGGCTCCGGAGACTGGTCCGGGCGCTCCTCCTGGCTGGTCTCTTGTGCCTCCCAGCAGCTCCTGTTCAGCCTGGCCAGGGAATCGCTTTGGCGTCTGACAGGGCTGTTTGCAAAACTTGGAAGAGGGTTGAGGCTCCCCAGGGCGGTTTGCAAAGAGCCTGCTGGCCAACAGGAATTGCACCCGATTGCTGCCTCGACCCAGTCCAGCCAGGAATTTTCCTGTCCTTTAGGTTCTTCGCTTCACTTCCTGTAGTCCGGATATTTGGGACTGGGACCGCTTGGCAGGGGTCTCAGCCAATATGGCTACCAGACAGGAGCTCTGTGGGCCCTTCCCGGTCTAAAGCCGGTCTCTTAGCTGAATATTTCCAGTGTAGGTCATGCTAAGACACATGAGGTTTCTTCAGCTTTGTGCACTCTCTAGCATGGCACTGCAAACCCAGTTTGCCTTTTATAGCAAACTATGGTTACTTCTCTTGCGGTTCATTCATCTTGCTAAACCTTCAACCCAGGTTCAGAAGACAAAATTAATTTCACATGCTTTTTCCAACCACATACATTCCTGTCTTATACCCACAACAGTCCACAAACAACGCAGCCCCATTGTAGCCCAGATTAAGGGTGTTGTGAGAATGTGGGCTTGGCTTCAGCCTGGCTTGATCTTCGGTTGTGCTTTAGTCTTAAATTATTTAGATTTTAGCCTTGGGACACTGTTTGGAAATGGTATCAACAACAACGAAAAGCTCCCAAGCTTTTTAAAAACTGACTCTAGTTTTCCTCCTCCAGATGAGCAGAGACGGAAGGTGACTGGAGGAGAAAAGGAAATATGGGTTCTGCTTTTTGATGCGTGAACAAGCTTGTTTTTAATTTCACAGCTAACTCTGGACAAGTTTTTTTTCCCCTCTTTCAGAATGAATTAAAATCTAAGTTGAATTTTGCAGAGGTGAATAGAATAACTCTCCTCAAAGGGGCAATGTGAATTTTGATTTCGGAAGAGGACGGGGTTTGTAGCTCATCGAAACGTTGGCATTCACCCAGCCCTCGTTCTCCTCTGCAGAGGAAGCATCTTTACCCTCAAGGATCTTTCTCAACGCAAATGTCCTGTTCGAGTCAAGGGTCCTTTCGGTCAAGGCCACAGTGAGGGAAAGGGGTAGTAGAAAAGCCTCTGTTGTGCAAATATTTCAGGAAATCAGCAATACCTGATCTACACCAAGGGGGTTGATGTCCTGAAGTTGGCCATTCTCATGTAGAGCTCTGCTATATCGCTTGATGTGATGCACGAACCTAGCCGATGGTGGCCCTTTTATCAAATCATAATTAACTGCCTGGCTTCGAGTGATGTAAGACTTATTGACCCGTAACTGTAGGTCCTACGGAGGTCCTCCACTCTGCTTGGCTTGTGGGAACTGAAGTCCAGCATATTTAAAAGGCTGAAATAAATGTATATGCATGGAGGATGTGATGTTGCCAAGGGTGGACATGCAGGAATTCAGCCTTGGGCTGTGTTCCAGGACAGCGTTAGAAGCCGGGCTCGTTGATCGTGGTGGGATTTACCTCTGAGTAAAGCAGCAGAGAGCTGCACTGCTGGTGACCCTGCAGAGGGCAGATGTTGCTGGGTGCAAAACTGCCTTTCTTGTTCATTTTACAACAGGAGCTGATTCTGCAGAATCTCATTCTTAAAAAGTTCATTTTTCCTCTTTGGGGTCCGTGGGCCCGCGCTTAATCTAATTTTAAATAAAATGTGTGGCGAGTTGAATTATTGCTGAGGTTTCCAAACAAAACCCAAGAAGAAAAGATTCAAATTCTTTCATATCTTTCGCTTCGCTATTGTTAGCTACACTACTAATAGTTTGCAGATGTTTGGAACAGCATTGTTTCATAAAAACTGTACGTTTGTGTGTAATAAGCCTTTTGTTAGAATGCATTGATTCAGGCTTAAACATGTGGCTGTTACTTGAGAATCCGTTTGCAAATATCTGGGGGTCCTGGCGCTGGCAATTGAAAGGCACATCCATTCTGTCTTCAATTTTCAGCGGAAAGAAAAAAGGCTGGGAGAATTGCCGTGAAAACGGGAGTTGTTCCTGCTGTCTGGATTTCTGCAGAATGATGCCTATCTTTGCTCATCCCTTAAATCCTTTTTTATACCTTGTTTTCTGTGATAACAAAATTTGGATACTGTGCATACAGTCACGATCTAAATCTTGGGTTTCATACCAACACACTGTTTGTATCAGCAATCTGTTCTAAATGTCGTTGCTAATAAACATTTCCAGTATTCATTTTTCTTCATTAAATAATAATTTTATTTTTTGCTCCTCTTCCACTCAAGAATGAAGCATCTGTCTCAAAGCAAGGCCCTGAAAACAGTTGTGCAACAATTAAAACTGCATTCTGGCAAGGTTATGACCATGTAGAAGGCTGGGAATTACACAACCCTTAATATTTTCTCCAAACCATAAATGTTTGCAAAGTTCAATACTCTTAAGTCAAAAACTGAGAGATTCTGCTGCCAGTTTCCGAAACTGCCCAATTAATCGCTGTTTTTTTAAATTTTCTTTTTGATAATCAGTTTAATTAAAATCGCTGAAGCTCCTATTTTTCTTTTTCTTTTTTCTAAAGTCAGTTCATTTCGTTCTTTCTGCTTTTAGCCCGACTTGCTGAACGGACCTCCGTTGCAGTAGCTCGTGGGAATCCCCCGTCCGTCCGTCCGTCCTTCATGCGACGGTGCTGGAGTAGCGAAAAGGCCCAGCACAGGAGAAAGAATGACAGGCGAGGGCTGGCTTTGGACAGGGCTGGCCGTGGTCCTGGCCGCGACCAGCACCGAGAGCGTCTCCAGCCGGGGGTGAGTCCTTGCCCTCGGTCCGGTTTCCGGGCGCTGCTGAGCTGAGTCGCAACGTGGACTTTCAGGGCTTTCCGCAGAGCTAGCAGAGCGCCGGCTGTTGTGCCCAAAGGTGGCATCCCACCTGCCCCAGTAGGTGGGTAATGGCGAGGGGACAGAGTAGCTGCGATGAAAAAGAAGGGGTTCCGAATGCCGATTCAGTTTCAGTTGAAATGCCATTTCAACTCAACCCGAGCAAGACTGAGTGGCTCTGGACCTTCTAGAATCGAGGCTTCTCCACCTTTGGTTCTGGGCGGGTAGCACTGCCCCAGACAGACCTGGCACGCAATCTGGGGGTCCTCCTGGGCTCACGGCTCCTGCTCAAAGGGCAGGTGGCAGCCGTGGCTAGGAGGGCCTTTGACCACCTCTCGGTGATGCGCCAGTTGCGTCCATTCCTGGATCGGGAGGCTCTGCTCACAGTCACTCACGCCCTCGTGACCTCTCACTTGGACTACTGCAATGGGGCTGCCCTTGAAGAGCATTCGGAAGCTTCAGCTGGTGCAGAATGCGGCTGCCTGGGTAGTAAATGGTGTCGGGTATGCGACGCGTGTAACACCACTCCTGCGTGAGCTGCATCAGTTGCCGGTGTGTTTCTGGGTGCAATTTGAGGGGCGGGTTGTCACCTTTAAGGCCCTGCATGGCTTGGGACCGGGTTAGCTGAGGGACCATCTTCCCCAATAGTTTCTACCCATCCGATTCGGTAGGGGAGGTCGGGCATGCTGCAGGTCCCATCAGCCACAGAACGTCGGCTGAGAAGGACCAGGAGATGTGCCTTCTCTGCCGGAGCCCCTGCCCTCTGGAC